TGATCACAGTGGGATGGAGGGCTGGTGGACCAGGTGAGCTCAGGTTTAGGTAGATCCCCTCTGAGCTGCAGGTGATCCTGTTTCCCACCTGCTGGAGGTCGACTTTACCAACTGGAGCTGCACAGAAAGTAAACAATGAAAAAAGCTTTTGCTTTATATGAAGTTTCTTAGAATATATTGGATAACAATAATAGTGATGGCGTCTTCATTGTCTCACATGGATTAAAGATAAAATGTCCATCTACTGGACACAATCTTCAACACGAAACTGAACATCAGGACCTTCATGAAGGAGGATTTACTGCAGCACTGAAAAACTTTTTGTTTTGTATTTTCATATTTTACTGTGTTTCTCACCGTCCACTTTCAGGATGGTAAATGATTCCATGTCTTCCTTTGTGGTGCTGGTGTAGCACTTGTATCTCCCCTGGTCCTGAAACCTGCAGCCCTGTCAGCTGGAGTGAGGCGTTTCCTCCTGAGATCTGGTCCTCGAACACTGGACGTCCTGCCGCTGAAGCGCTGGTCCTGGTGAGCAAGCTGGTCTTTGTTTTGGTAGAAGGAGTGACAGGACTGTTTCCTGCTGTCACCTGAATCCAGTGGATGATCACATTAGTGTCGCCCTGGAAGCTGCACGGTAAGATGCAGCTCTCCATGAAAACACAGGACACCTCAGTGTCTGCAAACACATCAGGTAAAGAGACGACAAACATACAGGAGCTTTGACTGCAGTCAAGTCGGACATCAGTCTACTTCAAAATGAGTTTAATGACAGTTCAAATCTGTTAATAAAAATATCGTAATAATTTGTGAAACAGTCAGTAAATGTTGTTTATTGATCCATGTAGCCCCATGTAGATTTTTTTTTTCCTGGCATCTTTTCACAAGATCATGGCACATGTAGACATGCTGTTAACCAGCTGCAGAAGAGGAACATCGACTCTGTCTACATCACAGGAGTCATTCAGAGGTTCACCAACAGCATAAAGCTATCAGGTAGGCTATGTCATTTTTCACATTGACTGATATAATGTTTATGAAAAGAACTAACATAAATTACATGTCTGAACACAGTAGAATAACTCATAATTTTAATAAATAATAACTAAGCCATTTTTCACAGTTTTAAATACAATGAATCAGTTAGGAGAAGCTAGTAGAAATGTATTCATGCAGTGACAATACACAGTGCTGGACTGATTTTATATCTCCAGCAGGTTGGTCTTCTGAAGCCGTTATTGTGCACAGTGACTTATGTATCTTCTGTTTGTATCAGGGACTCTGCTCCTCCATCTGTGCAGCAGCCATCCACAAAAGAAACAGAAGTCAAGAGGAGCAGCACCGGTTAGCTACAGAGGTGAGCTGTAACATTGTTCTATATACAGGACATGAGGTGTTTTACCTTCGGCATCTTTATTGGTCCCCAGGTTTCAAGGAGTGGGAGATAAATGCTGGTTAGACTCCAGTTGGTAAGTTTTATGTTCCTATGCCAGTTTTTCTGTGTATAGTTAACTTTAATCACCATCCACCTGTAAATATTATTAATAATACTATTATATTGTAATTTTGTATTAAGAGGATTCACTAATGTATTTAATCCAATTGCTACATTTATGTTCCTATGACACAGTTTTTCTTTGTATAATAGTTATTTTTTAATCATCATCCAACTGTAAATGTCTCTGAAGAACTTTATTTTGTATTAAGAGTATTCACTACTAATAATCATATCTTCATATCATTGTCATTATCTGTCCAAACTATGATTTCTAAGAGGCGGAATTAAATAATTATTTTTATCCCTAAAACAATGGTATCTTTTGTTTGGGTTCTTTTATTGGGTAGTTTACCGAAAGCTTCTGGCACATACAGCCTCACCTAGAATATAACAACACGTATAATATTATTATTCAAATTATTATCACATTACTATGAACTGCTTTTTTTTTATTTTACTATTGGTCATTACAGTAAAAGGTTAGATAGAGACAGAACACAGGCGGGTGACTTGGATGTGAAGCCCAGACTGCCTCTGATGTCTCTGCCTGTACATGTTTATTGGTACGTGGAGTAAAGGTCCACACGAGGTGACTCGACTGAAAACCAAAACGCTCACACTGCTTTGGCAGCACGCACGCCCAACTACGAACGCAGCTCAGGGCGCGCGAAGCACCGAGCAGAGGCCCATCATCCTCTGTATTCTCTGTCCTCTTCCGACATGACTGGGATTTCTTTTTTGGGAATGGGAAAGGAAGGAAGTGATGTCATTACCCGCCCCCTATCGGAGTGAGTGGTGCGACAAGGGAAAAGTTATTTACTGTTAAAGCTTTTCTTTTCTTCTTTTTAAAGCAGCGAGAAAAGATTGAAAGAAAATGCTGGAAAAAAATCACTTTCAAACATGGAGGATTATTGCACGAGCTGTATGAAAGAGACTGACACAAAAAACATGAAATTAAATGAGAGGCATTTATGGATATGTTTAATATTAGTCAATTTATTTTCAATAAATTAAATATATTAAAGTTGATTTTTAATTGTTAATATAGTATATAGGTTTTTTGTTGTTTTCTGTTGCAGAGCCGTTTCATGGTGGGGGGGGGACACAGCTCCCGCCACCCTTCTCAGCTCCTCGATCTGTATAGCATCACTCTACTCTGCACCCTCTCAACGCACCACAGACCAAAGAGTAGCAACGGTGGATCTGGGATACGCTCATGTGAGTGTTTCATATACGGTAGGCATCCAGCTGTGTGTGTTGGTGATAGATGCTTCACTGTGGCCAGTTTCCTGAGAATGTCGTGTCGTGGAGGGACCGGACATACCGCACGCACGGCTAGCCAGCTGGTGAGCAGCGCACAACACCTCTGCCACAACAACTGAAGGTTTGATTTTTGGAACACTTTTCTCAAAGTCTGCCACCAACAAACTCTACAGGAGCAGACCCCTCAGTGCTTTTATACCAACTTAGGTTGCATGATCACACTAGTTTCATACAAACTTAGCTCCCAACCTACATATGTCTTCTTTCATAATATCAACATCTATCCCGAATGGAGGCGAGGTCTCACGAGAAGCACCCACTCTAATTCAGGCTTATGTAGTCGATTGAAAAACTAATTTCCCTCTCTGAATCATTGAGCTATCAAAAAATCTGAAGACATTTTTTTCATTATTGTTGTATTTCATTTGGAGCTTTAGAAAATATAAACTTTATTTACATTGACAATGTGTTATTTAAAATATCTTAGCTGAAGTGTTAAAAATTCAACAATTCCTATGTCGGACTAAGACGGCAGGTCAGGAACAGTAGGAAACACAGCAGAGTCCGTTTCTCAGTCTACGTGAGTCCAGGTTATCCCTCCTCTATGGAGGATTATTGCACGAGCTGTATGAAAGAGACTGACACAAAAACATGAAATTAAATGAGAGGCATTTATGGATATGTTTAATATTAGTAAATTTATTTTCAATAAATTAAATATATTAAAGTTGAATTTTTAATTGTAGGTTGAAGGTTTTTGTTGTTTTCTGTTGCTGGAGCCGTTTCAGTGTTTCCACCTCCCACCACCAGAGGGCGCCTCCTGGATCGGGATAGTTGTGAAAGTTGTATTTCAGTAAGTCACGGTTGATGAGCTCCAGGTGTGGGTGGTTGGTGATGAGGTCGCTCCACTGTGGGCCAGTGTTTTCCTGGATGTCGTGTCTTCAGTGGAGGACGACGGTGGACAGAGCCGCAGCAGCTCAGCAGCTGGTGAGAGGAATCAACCTGCACAACAAATCTGAAGGTTTGATTTTGGACACTTCTTCTCAAAGTCTGTGTCACCACAAACTCTCACAGGAGCAGACCCCTCAGTGGCTTTTTAAGTAGTGTGTGGAGATACAAGGTTTTCATTCCCCAACAATATGATCTTTCTTATAAAATTCAAATTTTCATTGGAGGACTGACAGAGAGTCTAATTAGTATGTAGTCGATTGAAAACTAATTTCCCTCTCTGAATCATTGAGCTATCAGAAATCTGAAGACATTTTTTTCATTATTTGTTTATTTCATTTGGAGATTTGAGAAATCCAAACTTTATTTACATGAACACTGTGTGTGGGTGTGCGTGGGTGTGTGTGTGTGTGTGTGTGTGTGTGTGTGTGTGTGTGTGTGTGTGTGTGTATTAAAACATCAACATCTGTGTGGACTAAGACGCAGGTCAGAGACAGTGGAGGAAACAGTCAGTGTTGACTGGCTGATGAGGTGACAGCGCCCTTTATGAGTGTGATATTTTCAATGTGTTGCCAATGCACAATTACAATCATTCAATGGAATTAAATTATCAAAGAACTAAAAGAAAAGTGTAAAATGTCAACCACAATATTAACATGATAAAATACAATGTAATTATTAATAGAAGTAATTGAATAAATTGATAATGAAAATGAAAAAATAAATTAAATTATATACATATCCACATACATAAACAGTGCAGTTATCAAGTAAATAAAGACAAATTAGGTGGTGGTGGTAAATACATTTTCAAATGACAGAAGGACGACCATTTTACGACGATAATTTTATATTTTCTCATTTCATTCAGTGAGTTTCATGTTTTCATGTCATGTATTTAGTTAATTTCTGCTTCCAGTCGTCTGACACTCTCACTCTGATTGAGATCATCTTTTTATCCGAGACAGCCGTTAATTTCAAACTAGATTTCAACTGATGGAAAAAGATTTAACTGGTTTATTAATTGAATTACACTATACCATGATCTAGAAAGTGACTGCAGGAAATATAAATGAGACGAGACGTTAGAAAACTGGTCCTAACTAGTTCATTCAGCAGCAGTGCTTTTCTAATACAGAACATTTACTTACGTTGATATTTGATTGTAGTTTGACTGTCTGTACCCGTTTCCGCATATACTTGGGAGATATTTTGAGTCTAAAAAAAAAAAACCAAAAAACATTATTAATATAAATAACAAACAAGAAATTTATTAAAGTGTAGGAGGAACATTATTTTACCTCTTTTCTTTTCAAGGTACCAGACAAGAACAACTGCTGCTGAGACCAAAACAGCTGCACCCACCAAGTGTGGAATGACTCCATGAATGATTAAATCCTTATCTGCAGTAGAAATACAGATATTACAGTTAATAACAGTTCTCACTCATATAGACTAACAGTTCCTCACTTCATGCTGCCTCACCTGGACTCTGTATCCTCAGAAAGGTGTTGGTTATCAGTGTCTCCTCAGCATCACTCAGTTCACAGGTGTATATTCCCCCATGATGTGGAGATAAGTTCTGTAGCATGAGGCTGCCTGACTCTGACACACCTTTCACCTGCTGCCTCCAGCCCACTGAGACTGAGGAGGAGACGTCAGCTCTGGTCCGGGTCAGGATGATAAGAATGTGTTGAAATCTCTCAGGTGAGACGAAGCCTGTGAGGGAGGTGTTTGAGCCATACAGGGGAGTGTTGCAGATCTGGTCCGACTGACCAAGAAGCTGAGATGACAACAATCAACAAAAATGAAAAATGTCTGAATATTTTGTCAGATTCTGAATCTCCACGTAGCCTGACTACACGTCTCTTGCTAAAATCACTGCGAGCTGTTTAAACAAGTGGCTCTCCTTCTTGTTTCTGCGAGTGCTGATGCTGCAGCTGAGCTCGATCAGAAGTCGGCTGTCTGAAACCTGTCAGAGAAGACGTTCCTGATGTTGTGTTAGAGACGCTCTCCGCTCAAGTCTCTCGGACTTCAAGCTGGGCTCTTGAAGGTCACATTGGATGAGAGGGCTGGTGTGAACCAGGTGAGACTCAGGTTCAGGTCGAGACTACGCCCTCTGGAAGCTGCAGGTGATCTTGTTTCCCACCTGCTTGGAGGTCCCGACTTTACCAACTGGAGCTGCACAAAAGTAAACAATGAAAAAAGCTTTTGCTTAATGAAGTTCATTTAGTAATATAGTTGGATAGACAATAATAGTGATGGGCGTCCTTCAATTGTTTCACATGGATTAAAAGATAAAAATGTCATCTACCTGGACACACTCTTCAAGACACAACTGAACATCAGGACCTTCAGAAGAGGATTTACTGCATGCACTGAAAACCTTTTTTGTTTTGTATTTTCTATATTCTGTGTTTCTCACCGTGCCACTTTCAAGGTTGAATAATGATCATTCCTTCCCTGTTGGTGCCTGTGTAGACACTTTGTATCTCCCCTGGTGTCCTGACCTGCCAAGCCCTGTCCAGCTGGAGTAGGCGTTTCCTCCTGAATCTGGTCCCTCGAACACTGACGTCCTGCCGCTGAAAGCGCTGGTCCTGTGAGCGAGCTGGTCTTTGTTGTAGTAGAAGGAGTGGACAGGTAACTGTTTCTGGCTGTCACCTGATTCCAGTGGATGATCACATCCGTGTCGCCCTGGAAGCTGCAACGTAAGATGGCAGCTCCCTCCATGAATAAGCACAGGAGACCGAGCGCGTCAGTGTCTGCAGACACACAGTAAAGAGACACAACCAAAACGGCTCAGTTAGGAACATAGGCAGCTGATTCCACGAGAGGCTGTGTTTCAAAGACGTGATTGTTGATAACGTGGTCTGATCACATTTATTTATCTCGTCTAAAGCAATTTGTTGGCTCTGAACTTGCTTGGATCGACTGGAGTATGTATTATGAGGATTTAGTGACTGCAAAAGCCAACAATATGATTCAATCATTATTTTGACCTGATAATTACCTAATCAATTGCTAATTACACAAACACTCAACACGTTGCAACTTTAACAAACCACACACACACAGAAGTAATATTTGATGGAAATAAAACCTTTAATGCAGTTTTAAGTGATCCTGGGTTCTAGAAATGCATTCTGAAGAACTGTAAGCTTCTTAATGCAGCAGTTAGTCGTAGGAGGGATCCCTGTTGTATTGTAAAATTGAGTAAGTGACCTTCGAAGACGCACCAGCCGGACACTAGGGTGTCAGATTTTAAGCTGGTTGGTGCTCGCACAGGTTCTGCAAGGATTCTTAACTTATGGGTTAAAGTAAAGGCCTAGGTAACAGACCTAAATCCTGTTTCTTAATTGTGTTTCAATCAAACAATAAAGTTAAACGTAAGGTGAAAGGTTGAGAAATAAAAAAAACAAGGGCACCATGTTGTCGGGAGGCGAAGAGAAGAAAATCTAAAAGAATAACCCTGGGTGGTAACAATAGAGTTTATGGTCAGGGGAAATATATCGACGGGGAACATACGCAATTTCTTTAACATACTTGTTTAAGTTTTTACAATTCAATTATTTGTAATTCTAAATGTCTCCCTGTGTTTGTTGGCTTTCTGATGAATCGAGTAAGAGCCACTGAATACAACGTACCAAGTTTCAAACCACGTCTTGCTTACGTCTAGAGTGAAATAAGATCAGACTGGCTGTTTGGAAAAACCGCCTCACTCACCTGTATGATACAGTCCCATCGGAAAGTCTGAAGCAGAAATAACAATCACGATCCTCTCATTCATCTTGTTTTTAGCAGTTAAAATCTCCACGGTAACCTGTTTGAGAGAAGAGCAAGAGACGATTTGGAGGAGGAGCGAAATAGGAAGAGGAAAGTGTTTAAAAAAAAAAAAAAAAAAAAAGGAGGTGAACCTCGTTGACTGTTTACATGACGTAATTTGACTTCTGGGCGGAGTGTCAAGCGACTGCAAGCAGAGAAACATACAGGAGCTTTGACTGCACTCAAGTTCGGACATCAGTCCCTACTTTAACAAAAATCTAATCTGTTAATAAAAAATACATGTAAAATACAACCAAAATGTAGCCTCACGAGGCCCACTGGGCAAAACAGACAAAATGTTTAACTCTCCCATAAAGGCGTCACAGGTCAACTGGCCCAAACCGCCAGACGTAAAAGTTTGCAGATACAGAAATGTAAAAATTTCATTAACAAGTAATAGTCCTGCATGAAAAATCTTTACTGAAGTAAAAGCATACATAAAGGTACAAGCAGCTAGAAATGTAGTTGAAAAGTATTGAAAGTAAAAGACTGGTTTTGGTCCTTCCGACTGATATATTTAGAATAATAATTATAATTAATTGAAATTACATTATAATTACATACACTACTATTGGTTGAAGGGATATTCTACATAAGGTCCTTGAGGTGAGCAGCATTAGGTGGACTACGGTTAAGGTGGACCATTGCTTTACCCTACCCAACAGTTTTGATTCTCAGAGAATGATGAACTCTCAATCATGTTTTATGTTAGAGGATGCATTGTCCTCAGTTTGAGATTTATCATGGTCTTTAGAGGACTGACGAGATCTTTTTGTAGTTGAAGGAAACTAATTTCCATCTCTTATCAATTGGGTAATCAGATGAATCTGAAGACACTTTTTCAATTATTTGTTTATTCTCATTTGAGCTTTGAAGAAATATAACTTTGTTTACATGACAATGTTGTAAATACATATATTATGTACAGTGTATTTCCAAATATCTATTCGAGACTTGAAGGTGTTCAAGAAATCCAACATCAAGTGTCGCTAAGACGCAGGTCCAGAGACAAGTGGAGGAAACAGAGGTTTTCGAGTCAGTCCAGTGTTGACTGGCTGATGAGGTGACAAGAGCCCTCGCTGGACACCCCTGAACAAGGATCATCTGTCAAGATTTCATTCCCCGACACAAAAAAAACAATAGAGGAATACCATAAAATTAAAAGAAAACATTTGTCCTTACAACATGATGTAACAGAGATTAACCTGACGACCATTACATTAACAAGCCTGATGGTTTTCCATTTAGCTGAATCAAACAAACACCTCTGGATATTCAAATTTCTCCTCAATTTCATAAACAGTGACGTTACATTTAAATGTTTAAAGAGATTGGTTTTGGTCTGGTGGCTAAAAAAAGTCACATTGAGATGAAAACCTACTGGCAGCTGTATAAATGGGTTTTTCCAACAAGCTAGAAATAAGAATAATGCCAAAAGTAATATAAAGTGCTGCTGAAAGTGGCGTCAGTCTATATTTTACATGTCGGCAGCGAATCAAGTTTTGCCATCTTGTGTCTCCCATTTAGGTTTAAGTTGATTTGATTAAAGTTCCTGATTATTTCCACTAGTTTTACATGTCCACAGCACATGAATGTAACAGTGTCAAACCTGAATCCACTTAGTGGAGAAGTTCATTTGTCTTCAGCTGCTGTTTCCACTCTTGTCCATTTGACTGAACGCCAGAGCGCTGTAGTCATGAATTCACCACTC